GTTGTATAGTTCTCTTGTAGGAGGTCAGTAAACTTTGTGTAAGGGCCAGGTATTTTATTTTTAGAGTTTATAGGCCATATGGTCTCTGTTACCTACTCAGCTACTGTTGTAACAAGAAGACAAAAAAAAAATGAATGTGTGTATTTGTGTTCTAATGGAAACTGTATGGGCACTGACATTTTGAAATTTAATTTCATGTGTCATAAATAGTCTTCCTTTGTTTTTTTCCCATAATTTAAAAATGCTGAAGTCTTAAGCTCAAGAGCTGCTCTGAGGAAATGGGCAGTGAGCGCACTGGGTGCAGCCACAGGCTGTAGTTTGCCAACGCTGTTCTGTGGTGTCTACCTGCAAAATGAAGGCTCATGATATTAGGCTGTCTTCCTAGTGGTGATAAGTCATTGGTTAGGACAAACCATCGTGATTTTTCTTCATTTACCATATATGTTTCCTTTGCAATTAGAAAGTAATCATAGACTCATAACTTGAGATGGTGTGAAAACATCAGCAGCCTTTCTGCACCAGTGGTTTCGTTTTCCCATATCTACTGATGATTCTTGGCCTTAATTAGTAATTATACTGGGAGTTGCAAAATGGTAGAGAATTAAAACTTTAAATTTTTTTTATGTTTTTTGTTTATGGTTTTTTTTTATGGTTTTTATTTTGAGAGAAATTTTGTGTGTGCAAGGAGAAGTGAAAGAACAGGATCGAAGCAGGCTTTATTATCACTGCAAGAGCCAATGTGGACTCAGACTCATATGAACTGCAGACCATGACCTAGACAAAAGATGGGCCAACAACAACTAAGTTACCAGCACCCTAAACTATACAAAAGAAGTCTATTCCTCTACGTATTAGCTGGCTTCGCCGTCCAGAAGCCTCCCCCCCTCCTTTAATTTTATTTGTATATTGCTTTTGTTTTTATATATTATTGTTATTTTTTTTTTAAGTACCAAAGGCGTAGCTGATGATTGCCCTTTGAACTTTACCTCATGATGACCCCTGAAGGATAAAAAGTCAGATGCTTAACCATTCAGGTCACACCCAGGTGCCCACCTCTGTATTTTTGAATGTTGCCACTAACCTTTTTTTTTTTTAATTCGATATATTCATTGATAAAATTACTCCAAATTATTATTTGGCCATTTAGATCCTTCAAGTTGTGGCCCATGTATTTGTCCTGACGTGACTCTCTCTGGTACTGCTACCAAGGTTAGCCTTGTGCTTTGTTTGTGCCATCCATATGGGTATCCAGGCATTTTTCTCCAGGAGCTGTGGGTTACTTTTGTAGGAAAGGATATTTAAAGACTGTGTGGAGACTAGACTTTAAAAGTTCTTCTATCTTGTCTGTATCTGTTCACTCTTCTTTTTTTTGTTCAGGTTTATCTTACTGGTGATTTTATCAAAGAACCAGTTTTTGTATTTCTTCATCTTTTCATTTTTTATTTTTGTTTGTTGGTTTTCTGTTTTTTATCTGTCTTGGATTTTATATTTTTCTTTTGTCTTTTGGGTATTATTATTATTTCTTTTTAGTTGAGCCTCAAGACCTATTTTTTTTAAACTGCAGTGCATAGTTTATATTAAGTCATCACTTTAAGTTTACAATTCAGTAATTTTCATAAGTTTACCCTAGTTGTGCAACCATCACCATAATCGGTTTAGAACATTTTTTATGACCCTATTAAAAAAATCCCTCCATGCCCATTTTTATTAAAAAAAAAAAAATTTTGGGGGGGCACCTGGGTGAAATCAGCTCAGTCCCGGGTAATCCACGGCTCGAGCCATGATCTCTCCACGGTCTGTGGGCCCATGGGGCTACTGTGTGCTTTCGGAGCCTGGAGCCTGCTTCAGATTCTGTGTCTCCCCTCTCTCCTGGCCCTCCCCCACCATTGTGCTCTGTCTCTCTCAAATGCTCAAAAATAAATAAACATTAAAAAAAAAATTTTTTTGTTAATGTTTGTTGTTGTTATTTGTGAGTGGAGAACACGGGTAATCAGCAGGCTCTAGGCCCCCCCCAAAATTTTTTTTAATAAAAATGGGCGTGAGGGATTTTACAGGGTCATAAAAATGTTCTAAAACCGGATTATGGTGATGGTTGCACAACTAGGTAAACTTATGAAAAATTACTGAATTGTAAACTTAAAGTGGATGAATTTTACATAAACTATACTCCGTAAGTTTAAAAAATAGGTCTTTGAGGCCTAAAAGAAATAATACCCAAAAGACAAAAGAAAAAATATAAAATCCAAGATAAAACAGAAAACCAACAAACAAAAATAAAACAGTGAAAAGATGAAGAAATACAAAACTGGTTCTTTGATAGAAATCAATTAATATAGTAAGATAAACCTGAACAAAAAGAAGAGTGAACAGATACAGACAAGATAGAAGAACTTTAAAGTCTAGCTCCACATTACAGTCTTTAAATATCCTTTCCTACAAAAGGGACCCACAGCTCCTTGGAGAAATGCCTGATACCCATATGGATGGCACAAACAAAGCACAAGGCGAACCTTGGTAGGCAGTGCTCAGAGTCACGTCAGGACAACACATAAGCCAACTTGAAGGATCTAAATGGCCAAATACGGGTCAATTTGAGTAATGAATAATGAATATATCGAATTAAAAAGGTTAGTGGGTACACAACATTCAAAAAATACAGAGGTCGGGGCACCTGGGTGACTCAGTCGGTTAAGCATCTGACTTTTGATCTCAGGGTCATGAGGTAAAGCCTCACAAAGGGCACCACGCTGGGCGCCTACTTAAAAAATAATAATATATAAAACAAAAAAATATATACAAATAAACAAAGGAGGGGGGGGAGGCTTTTCTGACGGAAGAAAGCCAGCTAATAATGTAGAGGGAATGACAGAATTTTTTGTATTTTAGGGGTGCCTGGGTGTCTCAGTTGGTTAAGCGTCCAACTTTGGTTCAGGTCATGGTCTTGCAGTTCATGAGTCTGAGTCCCACATTGGGCTCTGCAGTGACAGCACAAAGCCTGCTTCGGATCCTCTGTCTCCCTCTCTCTGCCTCTCCTTGCACACGTGCTCCCTCTCAAAAATAAAACCATAAAAAAAACCATAAACAAAAAACAACATAAAAAAATTTTAAAAATGTTTTAATTCTACCATTTTGCAACTCCCAGTATAATTACTAATTAAGGCCAAGAATCATCAGTAGATGGGAAAACGAAAACCACTGGTGAAAGGCTGCTGAGGATTTTCACACCATCTCAAGTTATGAGCCCATAGATTACTTTCTAATTGCAAAAGGAAACATATATCTTTGCAAATGAAGAAAACTGATGGTTTTTGTCCTAACCAAATGACTTAGCATCACCACTAGGAAGACAGCCTAATATCATGAGCCTTCTGCTATTTTGACACCACAGAACAGTTGGCAAACTACAGCCTGTGGGCCAAATCTAGCTCACTGCCCATTTCCGTATAGCCCTTGAGCGAAGACTGACTTCTACATTTTTAAATTGTTGAGGGAAAAAAAAAAACAAAGGAAGACTATTTCATGACACATGAAAATTAAATTTCAAATGTCAGTGCCCATACAGTTTCATTAGAACACAGCCACACATTCATTTTTGTCTCTCTTGTTACAACAGTAGCGCTGAGTAGTGGTAACAGAGACCATATGGCCTATAAACTCTAAAATAAAATACTACCTGGCCCTTTACACAAAGTTTACTGACCTCCTACAAGAGAAACTATACAACATCACTTATGAAATAGTCCTGCCAAAAATGTTGAGTATCTCATCATGAGGAAACTATAGGACAAATCCAACAATGCGAGACACAAGACAATTGGGCTGGATGCTTCAAAAAATGCAATTAAAAGATACTAATCCTATTCTTTCCTTTTAATGTTTATTTATCTTAGAGAAACAGAGAGGGCAGGGGGAGAGGAAGACAGAGTCGGAAGCAGGCTCCAGGCTCTGAGCTGTCAGCACAGAGCTCAACGCGGGGCTCAAACTCACAAACCGTGAGATATGGCCTGAGGTGAAGTCAGACTTCCAACTGACTGAGCCACCCAGATGCCCCAATACTAATCCTTATTCTTAGGAAACACATGTGGAAGTATTCAGGCACTAAATTGGACTTCTACTTTTAAATGATTCAGAAAAATAATATATGTCAGAGAGATAAGGTAAATGTGGCAAAATATTTTTTTTTTTTTAACGTTTATTTATTTTTTTTGAGACAGAGAGAGACAAAGCATGAACGGGGGAGGGTCAGAGAGAGGGAGACACAGAATCTCAAACAGGCTCCAGGCTCTGAGCAGTCAGCACAGAGCCCGACGCAGGGCTCGAACTCACGGACCCGCGAGATCATGACCCAGGCCGAAGTCGGCCGCCTAACCGACTGAGCCACCCAGGCGCCCCCAAAATATTTAAAAACTGGTGAATCTAGAGTTGCCTGGGTGGCTCAGTCAGTTAAGTGTCTGACTCTTGATTT